AAAAATATTACCTCAGTCAGGATTCGAACCTAGGACCTCCTCAACTTTCGAGGAAAAGTGTTTTAGCCAGCTCGACTACTGAGGCTCCGGAAATATTCCTCGCAATAACTGATATGTATAAAGAGAACGCACGTTGTATGGCTGCGTGTGTACAAACATATTAAAAATTTCTGGAATAAATTGATTTAATAAAAGAATATATAATGTATTATTTATAACATCCAAAATTTGACCGATCTTGGCTTTCTTTATTGTATTTGATGTATTCGCATATACGGTCGTGCTTAAAATTCTTAATATTATATAATAAATATAATATTTATTATACTGTTTATCATATTATCATTATTTTTATCGATGTGTTCTCGAGTTTTCTAAATCGATAACAATACATTAAATTTATACCACACACATGGTACAATATATATCCATTGATAAAATCGTTAATATTTTCTAGCATAGCCTGTCAAAAATCTCAGTATGTTGTAACATCATATATATTAAAAGATGAACGTAACAAAATTATCAAAGATTAAGGGGAGGAAGTTATTGAATAAAGACGTCGCATTTAGATGCTCCTTTTTAGCTTGGCGTTTTAACTAAGTTATACGACGGCTGATCGGGATGTCAAGGGATAGAAATTATGATCTTGCGACGGAACAGCGAAGGATCCCGCGGAAGGAACGAATCGGTGGGCCCGAAGGACACGACGAGGCGGACGAGGAACGTGAGGACTGGAAGGCGTAAGAGAATGGAAATCAATACGTGAAGTGAGCAGCCAGTTTCAGGCAGAAGTTGCCGGCTTTAGAAAGCCTTGAGACGTCGTCTGCCCATCCTCTTCGGACCCTTGTGTTAAGAGAGCTCGAGCAGGGATGGGCGAGAGCGAAGGAAGCGCCAGTGACAGAAAGTTAGAGGAAGCGAGAAGGAACGGAGGGGGTGGGTATATGAGAGAACAAGAAAGAGAGAGAGAGAGGGCGGGGGGGAGGGAGAGACGAGAGGTTCCATTCAGGACTAATGGGGTTAAACGCCTTAGCCATCAACCGAACGCCTCCCTCTTGATTCTCGGACGTTTCGATTCGTCCGGGGCTAGAATTCGAATTATCCGTAATATCTCCGGACATAGTTTACGTTCGCCGAGACTTCGTCTCGCGAATTAATAGAAGTGTGTGCGTGCGAATAGAAAAAAAAAACGTCGCACACGGCAATTATCTCAGAAACGTTCTTAGCCATCACGATGCTGTCCCTTTAAGGGCTAATTTGAAAATTCCTTATTTAAATCTTAAAACTTAAATCTCGAAATCTCATTAGTCTAGGTCCACAAGTCTTGCTTTAAGAGGCCACAAGCTGTAAAGTCGTAAGAAATTGACCAATCACAGTCGATTATATTTCTCATGTCCGATAGTTATTTAGAGGCACATAAATGTTGGCGTTGTTAATTCAAAACACCAATCGCAGAAATAGAATTCGTTGCACGTATGGTGGTTATGTGCTATCGGCATTTCGTAGTCGTCGTCCAGAAGTCGTTGAGTTTTATGCTTCTTGGAGGGAGAGGACGAGAGAGAGAGAGAGAGAGAGAGAGAGAGAGAGAGAGAGAGAGAGAGAGAGTTCCGCCTCCGTAAAGGTTTTATCATAATCGTTCTCATGATGGCCCGTCGTAATGGAATGCCGGATTAGAAAATGACATATGATCAAAGATCGACATGAAGGGATCTTTTGATATACTTTTGAGGATCACGATGGGGTTTCACGCGCCTTAATCTTCTGATCGCACACGCAACTTTGGAGACAATGACTTTTTTTATCTTGTCCTATATCAAAACTGTAAATCTCATTATTAGATTATGAATAACGATTCCTACATTGATTTACATATTTTAACATTACGAATTTAAGAATTGCAAGCGTGCAATATTTGGCTCAGTATTTTCGATATTATTTTTCTTATATGAACTTGTTAATAACTATCGCATTGTTATTTTTGTTTAAAAAAAAAAATGATCTCCAGTTGCGCATATCGATAAACGTTGACATTTTACAATTTTATAATTAGAAAATACAACTTACCTTTGTGTGCCATGTCGTCAGCAGTGACCGAAGCTATGAGGCCGGTTGCGCCCGGCCATGGAGCGACCGCAGCGCCCAGTTGCTGCGAAGGCAGAATCTTCGGGCCTTTAAACACTTCTCGTTCACTGAAACCATAATTAATATCGTTAGAAAAAAAATCTCAACCTCGTATGTAGCGATAACAATAATCTTTCCGTCCAAAAACTAGATCATCAGACAATTAATCGTGTGATTGAGAAAGCAAGAACGATAGTACCTAGCTTCGTAATGTAAATCTGAAACTAGTAAAATGCACGTTGGTAAACACGACTATAAAATGACTTTAGGCAATTAATAACGCGAAAGAATAGTGCTTATACTGAAGATACTTGATGGTTTCGATGACCCATCCAAACTGTCCCGTATTAAACGTCGTAGTTAATTCGACGCCCGCGCCGTATGCTCGAAAACTGTATGTATCTATAACACCTGTGTAAATCTGTCATTTGCATATCGCGGTCGCATATGCGTTGCCTTGAGCAGACAAATAAACCGATCTCTTCCCGCGCTGTTACCTCTAAACCGCGCGGTTCCTATCCTACCGCAACGTATTCATACAATCTACTTTAATCTTGCGTTCTACAAAGCGCACAGGAAAGAGGAAAGATATATATACGTATATATGT